AATAATAATAATAAGGGAGAAGAAGATTATGCACACATATTCAGATATTTCCTGCTAGGACTACGAGTTACTGATTGACCTGCAATGGTGAGCTGGTGCATATCATAAACATCCCATATAAGGGAAGAACAAGCAGTGTTTACTGGTCATCTGCTGACTAGGAAGCAATTGAGTAACCATATAAGGAACTTACAGCAGATATAAATGGGATGAAAGACTTTAAAAGTGCTTGTTATTGCCATGTTTTTTGAATGATTTCAATAAAGGAATTCTAAAAAAGAGCATTTTTCTAAACTGATATAAAATGAGTTGTGCTATGGCCAGCAAGTAACTTCAGTGAACAAAGCCCAACAACTAACAGATTAAAATGTGGAATAAATAAAAGCAAGTGACAAAGAAACATGATACCATGGAGTTAAGTCTCCAACAAAAATGATTGTGATAAAGGCCATGCACTTTTGTCCTGCTCCACCAAAGCCAGCAGTAACCAGAGCATTCAGGGTAGCATCCACGCTTGCATCGGGCATGACAACAGCATGGTTTTTTGCTCCTATATATTGCACTAAAAAAATGACCGACAAGCCAAATTGCAAATTTAGATGGACTTCACATGTTGCAAGAAGAAGAGAACCCATTTTTGCTCATATATGAACTGATGTCTTTTCCAAAACATACCTGAATACGTTTAACTTTAGCTGATGCTCTAGCATATATGTAAGCACCAGCCTTCAAAAATTAAAAGAGGAAAATGAGAACAATAAGTGTAGTAAGTTCTGGGAAATAATATTAAAAGCCTAAAGCCCGAGAAGATTACCAAAAGAAGAGAAAACTAAGCTAGTAAGATAATATTTAAGTGAGTCAAAGTGAGAGAACAATATCCAACAAGATGCATTCAATGATGCACAGCACAATCTTAGCAGGATATATTAAGAGCAAGACATAAGCTGTGATACAACTTACTGTACTTGTACCAACAAAGGAAATAGCTTTGATGTCATCATCATTGCAGATAGCATTAATAATGTCCTGCCAAAATCAAGTAAAATATTTAACACATTAGAAATGAGAAGAAAGGCATAGAAACATGAAACATAATTCCAATTCCATCACCAGATATCAAAATAAATATTAGATTCAACAAAGGATCAGCATGAAGAGCAACTTTTATGAAAGTAAAGCAACATATACTAAACAGAAGTTGGATGTTCTTCAGTATATTAAATTGAAAAAGTTTCTTGGCATATGATATCTTAAATGTTCTGCATTAATTACCCAGTTCAAACGCACATTGGTCCCATGTAAAATATTCAAGTCACCATTTGGGAGGCCAGCCTCCACTGCTAGTTCATCCACTGCTAGTTCAGCAAGAAGGACAGCAGCAGCTGAAAATAAAAATGGCGGATTACTTCTATGCCTAGCATTGAGATGAAGATCATATGCAAGCATAACGTGTGATCAAGCCATAACTTATGCAAAGGGAAAAAAGAAAGAAAGAAAAAACGCAGCTTCCAATTTTCAGCATAAGTCTTGAATCATTAACATGACTGATGTGCTTGTGCTTAACTTGTAATTGGGATATTTAAATAACTTTTCTATTAATAAAGCCAAAATTCAAATGACTTTCTAAGGTCATAACTCTTTAAGCTAGATCTTCTTCCATTTTTTTTTTTTTTTTTGGCCAACAAATCAGAACTCTTTGCCTAAGAACAAGGCTTGAGCTACTAATTCATTTTTTTGAACTCATAGCAAGGAATAAAGTCAATAGCTCACGTTTCTGTTTCCATGTAGAAGGGTTGCCTCAATATAACCCCAACTAGAAATGCTTGATACTTGTTTGCCTGATTAGCTCTGACATGCAGATGAGTGCTTGAATCTATAATACCTATCAAACTGTTATTTTTTTTATTTCATATGTGAGAGCTTGATTTATCTAAATTTGATTGGAAAAGTTTCAGCTGCCACTCTTTCTAGTTTACAACCCCACTCTTAAAATTTGGCAGTAGAACAACAATTTATTTTCAATAGCAAACATTTAATACAGTGTGCAGACTCCTACTTGATTAATTCTTCTTATTATTAAAAAGGAGCTAGTTGCTGTGGATTCATAACACCAAAAGGAAGACATGATGGATTACATAAGCTTGAAACCATGCATGGATCTATGATAGTGACAATCTTCTTATTATCCCTAAGGACCAAGGGCAGGATGGAAGGGGCTTTCAAAATGGATGCAGATATTGAGGAATGTGTGCAAGTCCGAGACATTCCTCATTCTCACTCTCAAAAGATAGAACAATCACCTGGATCCATCTCTGATGGCTTAAGAATAAAAGTATTACCACAAGTGACTGCAACAGGAAACATTTGCATGCATAAAGTTTTATATTGGAAGGCGAATGAGAAGTAATTTGAACAACTACAGTATTACATAAGCATATTCCTAACCATCACACACTAAGCAGGTAGCTATGGAGCGAATAAGAATACTGTGAACAAGACTAAATAGTAAAGAGAAAAAAGGGAAAGAAAAGCAAGCTTACCCATAAGGGTATCATAACTGGAAAGTCAAAGGGCCAAATACCAGCACATACACCAAGTGGCTCTCTGATGCTATAAGAATCAACTCCATTGGATACATTAGGAGCGAACTCTCCAATTTGTAAACTTGCCAATCCACAAGCATGTTCAACCACCTCTACGAGGGAAAATCAAAAACTGTATAGAGCAAAAACTATTACTTTAACAAAATTTTCATAAACAACAAAAAACAAGAAGGAACTAACCTAACGCCCGTAACACATCACTGTGTGCATCTTTCAATGTCTTCTCATGTTCATGTGCAACATTCAAAGCTAGCTTATCCTATGAAAAATTGAAGGGGTTCTCATTTAAAAAGAGAAAAAAAAAAAAGACTTTAGATAAATTAAGAATAAACAAAGGGAATCTCAAAGATTTACAATGTCTCTACGTATAAGCTCTTGAAATTTGAACATAATCCGCTGTCAACTTGTAATTGGTGTGTTTCTCCATGATGGAAAAGCCCGTTTTGCTGCAAATATAGCAGCTCTGAATTCCTCATTTGTAGTCAAAGGAACTTAAGAAACAATTTGCTGTGTTGCCTGTCACAGAGTGTAATTAGCCAAGATCTATAACCTGCTTGACCATCATATGAAGCAACAAAGACAAATCTTAAATGCTTCTACTAACAGGGTTTATAACATCAATAGATGCAAATGACTGTGAATCAACCAATCTACCTCCAATAAGATTGGGTACCCTCTGACATTCAACAAAACTGAGTTTGATTGCAACATAACTTTTGGGAAATAAAGGCCAACAAGCAGGGACAGAGAGAACATAAGGATGAGAAAAAATGATGGAAGATAAACCACTAAAGTATTATTTCTTCCTATTCTCTCCTTATTGCAAGTAGTTGGTTAAGACTTTGTTCAAGTAAGTTGCACTGCATTGCATCTACACTTACCGGAGGGTTACATTGCCTCCAAGATGGCTCCATAACAGAGAGGTAATTGTTTCTAACAGTAGATTTCTGAGGTCTCAACGACTGGTAGTTTCTCACTGCAAAAGATAGACTGCCATAACAAAATATAAATAGTAGTTGCTCATACATACTCTTTGGCTTTAGCTCAAGTGGCAATACAAGGTTTGAAAAGGTTTTATAGTTTCTAATATTATTAATCCAATAGTAATCAAACAGAATTTTCTGCACCAATATGCCATGAGTTTTTCTCCAATACATCATAGACGAATGTAAAAAAGCCAAATTGATATCTCACACAAATATGGAAATAAGAGACACATCTTCTACAAGAATAACTCTTTGCAGGGACACCATTATTACCTGCAATTTCTCACAAGAATGGCTAAAATTTCTAATGTTTATCCAGAAAGTTCCTAACAGGAAAGTGTCCCATGCATTACAAATGGTATGAGACTGAAGCAAAGAGTAGCACAGAAAGTAGGCAAGAAACCAATAAAAGATTGTGAATGCTAGTTCATCATTCCTCAATAATAAAGATAAATAACAGGTCATGAAAAGGTAAGATCAAATATTAATGAGATCCTATATGAGATTTTTCTTTGAAGTTAGATGTGAAAATCCTAAAACAGACTTAAAAAGCTTTTTTTTTTTTTTTTCTTTTCATCTTTTTTTTTGGGAGTAGATTCTTTGACCACCCTTAGACTTTGGAAATTACATCATTGCCTAAACTGAACAGACTTTAAGCATTATATATATAGTTCACAATAGGCTAATTACAGGCCACAGCTGCAGAGATATGCTAGCTCCTCTAGTTCATTGAAAAAAGCCAATGTAAAAGAATCAATTGTAGATAGGAAAATTCTTAGAACAGGTTAGGAAAATCAAAGAGTGCTTAATGATAAGAAATGACAAGAAAGAAAAATGCACCTGTCATATTTCGTTGTTGAAGCTTAGCTTTAACGTTGTAAACATGTTTTGGAGTTGATAAAAGTTCAGGATTGCTTTACCTGAGTCTCTTAAGAATTTGCTGAGCTTTCAATCCCGCTTCTGTCATTTCTTTAATCAATAAAACTTCTTTCTCATTAAAACGACAAGCAGAAGGGTGTTCTGTAATATCCTTCAATGGTTCATCTCATGGTTATGTGTTCCATTTTTAACTGAAAGCACCCACAAACCATCATCCTTTTTACCCACAACTTCAAATGGGCAATTCATGAGTCGTGAACCTGTCTTTCTTCATCGGTAGCATTCAGAAGAGGACTCATCAACAGGTTTCCACCGGTTACGATAAACACCTCCTCTGTCACAGCCAAGGACCACAACTCTGTCCCTCTTAGACTGCTAAATGGTTACTACATATCCTTGAGATACAGCAAACTCCCCAACATGTTGGATGAGTTCCTCACGATCTACAAAAGTTCCAGGCGGAAGGGGAAGCATCAATGGCTGTTCATTGAACTTACTGCTATCTTGAATGTCCATAATAATAATCAGTAGATAACACAACAGATAACCTGCAAGAAAGCATAATTTCCTCAATATAGCAAGTCAGCAGTATTCTAAACCAATCAATCTACCCGTTTTTTGTATACATGCTGTTTTTTTCTTCTCCCACCTCATACAAAAATGCTACTATCCTCCTCCAATCCTTCGCTTTCCATTGAAATGAAATAAATCATAATCTCGACACTTCACCTGCAAAATTAAAAGGTAAATAAGTCCAATAGTTGGAGAAATACAATCCAAGTTGTTGAGCACATCTGATTATATGAAAGTAATCAAGAATTTTCAGGAGGAAAGATCTCCCTAGTAACCTTAACTAATTCACGTCATTACTGCAATTTAAACATAGCAATTCTGAATTCTACAAATTTTTAAGGAAACCAAAGATACGATCAACAAAAAAAAAAATTAATTAGTTAATTAAATTTCGAAGATATCGACTTCCTTTCTCGGAAACCAAACAGCAAAATAAACACGTATGGAAAAAGAAATGGAGAAAGTGCACAAGCACTACCGGCAGCAACGGGGAGACTCGAATTTTCAACGTCGGTAAATTCTACTGTTACATCAAGTAATTTGGGTTTTCGAATCTCA